GCAACCGGGACAGAATCCGGCGCCCCGACCGGGACTAGAACCCGGTGTGCCGGCGCTGCAAGGCAGAGGATTAGCCTAGTGAGCCGCGGCGCCGGCCTATTTAGACATTCTAATTAGACATTCCCAGGGGATAAATTTTTAAAAAGCAATACACACACACACACACATGTTCCTATTTTAATGAAAGTTTTTTAAAGATTTATTTATTTGAAAGTCTAAGTTACAGAGAGAGATCTTCCATCCACTGGTTTACTCACTAGATGGCCACAATGTCCTGCACTGAGACAGGCTGAAGCCAAGATCCAGGAGATCCATCTGGGTCTCCCATGTGGGTGGCAGGGGCCCAGGTACTTGGGTCATCTTCTGGTTTTCCTTGGACATTAGCAGGGTGCTGGGACAGAGTGGAATAGCCAGGACGTGTACTGATACCTATACGGGATGCCAGCATTGCAGGAGAGGCTTTACTTGCCATGCCACAACACCAACCCCTTACTGAAAGTTTTTAAAAATTAAGAATGGATATTGAATTTCCTGAAATGCTTTTTGTAGCTTATTAGAACATTTTACTTCAGAGTCTGGTCCTGATTTCTTTGGTAAGTCTGACACACTCAATAAATGTTTATTGAATGAAAACAAGCAAAAGACCACAATAGCCAAGGTGGTTTTTGCTTTTTAAAAATGTATTCAAGGCCGGCGCCGCGGCTCACTAGGCTAATCCTCCACCTTGCGGCGCCGGCACACCGGGTTCTAGTCCTGGTTGGGGCGCCAGATTCTGTCCCGGTTGCCCCTCTTCCAGGCCAGCTCTCTGCTGTGGCCAGGGAGGGCAGTGGAGGATGGCCCAAGTGCTTGGGCCCTGCACCCTGTGGGAGACCAGGATAAGTACCTGGCTCCTGCCATTGGATCAGCGGGGTGTGTCGGCCGCAGCACACCGGCCGCAGCGGCCATTGGAGGGTGAACCAACGGCAAAGGAAGACCTTTCTCTCTGTCTCTCTCTCTCACTGTCCACTCTGCCTGTCCAAAAAAAAAAAGTATTCAAGAGGCAGAAGGAGGGGCCGGCGCTGTGGCACAGTGGGTTAACACCCTGGCCTGCAGCACCAGCATCCCACATGGGCGTCGGTTCTAGTCCTGGCTGCTGCTCGTCCGATCTGCTATGGCCTGGGATAGCTAGCAGTGGAAGATGGCGCAAGTCCTTGGGCCCCTGCACCCACGTGGGAGATCTGGAAGAAGCTCCTGGCTTCAGATCGGCGCAGCTCCAGCCATTGCGGCCATCTGAGGAATGAACCATCGGATAGAAGATCTCTCTGTCTCTCTACCTCTCTCTGTAACTCTTATATTTCAAATAAATAAAAAATAAATCTTAAAAAAAAAAAAAAAAAAAGAGGCAGAGGGATAGACAGACCAGACAAACCAGAGACAGACCATTCTCTGGTTTACCCCACAAATGCCCACAGCGGCCAGGACTGGGCTTTCTAAAGCGGAGAGCTTGAGAACACAATGCAGCTCTCCCACATGGGTGGCAGGGACCCAGTCACTTGAGGTGTCCCCACTGTGTCCCAGGGTCTGCAGTATCAGGAAGCTGGAGTCAGGAGCAGAGCTGGGAATCAGGCACTCATATGGGACTTGGGCATCTTAACTAGCATTTCAACCACTAGGCCAAGCCCCACATAACTCTTTTCCCATATAATTTTTTGAAAAAATGGAATAGCTGCCTCCGTGGCTCACTAGGCTAATCCTCCACCTTGTGGCGCTGGCACACCAGGTTCTAGTCCCGGTCAAGGCACCGGATTCTGTCCTGGTTGCCCCTCTTCCAGGCCAGCTCTCTGCTGTGGCCAGGGAGTGCAGTGGAGGATGGCCCAGGTGCTTGGGCCCTGCACCCCATGGGAGACCAGGATAAGTACCTGACTCCTGCCATCGGATCAGCGCGGTGCACCGGCTGCAGGGCGCCAGCCGTGGCGGCCATTGGAGGGTGTACCAATGGCAAAGGAAGACCTTTCTCTCTGTCTCTCTCTCACTGTCCACTCTGCCTTTCAAAAAAAAAAAAAAATGGAATAAAGGAGGCAAGTGTTGTAGCACAGTGGGTCAAGCTGGCACTTGGGATGCCTGTTTGCATTGTGTATTAGAGTTCTGGTTCGAGCCCCAGCTGCTCCAATTCTGATCCAGCTCCCTGTGAATGCACTGGGGAAGCAGTAGATGATGGCTCAGGTACTTGGATTCCTGCCACCCATGGGGGAGATCCAGACGGAGCTCCTGCCTCCTGGTTTTGGCCTGGCCCAGCCCTGGCTATTGTGGGCTTTTGGGAAGTAAATCAGTGGATGGAATATCTCTCTGTTATGCTGCCTTCAAATAAATAAATCTTGAAAAAAAAAAAAAAGAAAAGAACCAGTGTTAGCAATAATAAAGAGAAATAAAATCTTTTACATTGCTGGTGAGAACATAAGTTTGAAAAAATCATTTCCTTATTTATTTGAAAGGCAGAGAAACAGAAAAATTTTCCATCTGCTGGTTTACTCTCCAAATGCCTGCAACAGCTGGGGCTGGGCCAGACTAGAGCTGGGAGATAGTAACTTAATCCAAGCCTCCTTCTGAGGTGACAGGGACCCCAGTATTTGGGCCATAAGTACCTCCCAGGATGCCCATCAGCAGAATGCTGGAATCAGAAGCATAGCTGGGACCTGAACTGCATGTGCTTCAAGTTGAGTTTTAGCCTCTGTGCCAAATCCACCTCAAGAATGTAAGTTGTTGCAGCTGTTGTGGAAAATAGTTTGATCAAAAAGCTAAATATAGGGCTGGCACTGTGGCATAGTAGGCTAGGCCACCGCCTGCAGTACTGGCATCCCACGTGAGCACTGGTTCAAGTCCCAGCTGCTCCTTTTCCAATCCAGCTCTCCACTATGGCCTGGGAAAGCAGTGGGGGATGGCCCAAGTCCTTAGGTCCCTGCATGGGAAACTGAGAAGAAGATCCTAGCTCCTGGCTTCAGCTCAGCTCAGCTCCAGCCATTGCAGCCATTTGGGGAGTGAATCAGAAGATGGAAAACCTCTCTCTCTCTGCCTCTGCCTCTCTCTAACTCTGCCTTTCAAATAAATAAATGTCTTCAAAAAAAAAAAAAAGCTAAACATAGAATTATCACATGATCCAGCCATTCTATACCTAGGTAGATATGCAAAATAATTGAAAGCAGATACTCAAGAACTTACTTAATAATGATAGGGACTGGCGTTGTAGGGTAGGTAGGTTAAGCTGCCAGCATCCCATATGGGCTCCAGTTTGAGATCTGGCTGCTCTACTTCAGATCCAGCTCCCTGCTAATGGCCTAGGAAAAGCAGCAGAGGATGGCCTAAACCCTTGGGCCTCTGCACCCATGTGGGAGACCCAGAAGAAGCTCTTGGCTCTTGGCTTCCATCTGGCCCAGCCCTGGGTGTTGCAGCCGTTGGGGAGTAAGCCAGCAGCTGGAAAATCTCTCTCTCTGTCTCTCCCTCTCTAACCCTGCCTGTCAAGTAAATAAAATAAATCTTTTTAAAAAATGATAGCACAGGGGCCAGTACTGTGGCATAGCGGGTGAACGCCCTGGCCTGAAGCGCCAGCATCCCTTATGAGTGCCAGTTCGAGACCCGGCTGCTCCACTTCTGATCCAGCTCTCTGCTGTGTCCTGGGAAAGCAGTGGAGGATGACCCAAGTCCTTGGGCCCCTGTACCGCATGGGAGACCTGGAGGAAGCTCCTGGCTCCTGGCTCCTGGCTTTGGTTTGTCACAGCTCTGGCTGTTGAGGCTGATTGCAGAGTAAGCCATCGGATGGAAGACCTCTCTCCTCCCTCTGTATAACTCTGACTTTCAAATAAATAAATAAATCTTTTAAAAAATGATAGCACAATAGCCAAAAGGTGGAAACAACCCAGATGTCTGTCAGTAGATGAATGGATAAACAAATTGTGGTCTGCAGATACAATGGAATAGTATTCACCCATGAAAGAAAGAATGGAATATTGGTATAGGTTACAACTTGGGTGAACCTCAAAAACATCCTAAATGAAAGAATGTAGACAGAAAAGGTCATAGTTTAAATGATTCCTTTTTTTCAAATATTTATTTTATTTTAAATTTATTTATTTATTTGAAAGGCAGAGTTACAGAGAGGCAGAGGCTGGGGGGAGAGGTCCTCATCCACTGGCCACTCCCCAGATGGCTGCAATGGCCGGAGCTGCACTGATCAAGCCAGGAGCTTCCTCTGGGTCTCCCACATGGGTGCAGGGGCCCAAGGACTTGGGCCATCTTCCGCTGCTTTCCCAGGCCAGAGCAGAGATCTGGATTGGAAGTAGAGCAGCCAGGACTAGAACTGGCTCCCATATGGGATGCTGACAACGGCAGGAGGCAGTTTTATGTGCTGTGCCACAGTGCCAGCCTCATCATTCCTTTTCTATGAAATATCCCAAGGCGGCAGATCCCTAGAGAGAGAGGCATACTAGTGTTCCCCTACAGTGAGGGTGGTGGTAGTAAGTGTTGAATGTGCTTGGAGTTGATGAAAAGATTTTTAAACTAGAGAGAGGTAACACTTGTGCAACATTGTGGTTGCACTGAATGCCACTGAATCATGTATTTAAAAATAGTTAATTCTATTAAAAACAACAACAACTTGTGAAAGCACTTGGTGTAGCAGTTGTGGAGTTTTGTGGAGAACTGTGGTCCATCCTCGAAAGGATTGTCCCCAAGTTCCATGAAGGCAAACAGGTGCACTTGTGAAAGGTACAGGACCTCTCTGTACTATTTTTGCAACTTCTTGTGAGTCTGTAATTTCAAAGAAAAGTTTAACAGAAAAATAAGACCCTTCTGACTGTGGTTACCCTCTTGCCTCCCACTCTTAAGTCTGACACCCAGAAACAGAGCTGTTTCTTGGAAGTCCTGGAACGCATCCCTGGCGACAGACCCTGATTGGCCGACGTAGGGCTGGCATCTGTCCTGGCCCGAGGGGCGGGGCCGGGAGCCGGCTCAGAGTCTAGTTTCAGTTTTGTTTCCCCTGTGGTGACAGAGGTGAGAGAGCTGTCGGGAGAGGCGGCCTCCACTCCTTCCGCATTGGTGCCTGACTGCACTGCTGTAGCTGAGCAGCACCAAATGCACGGAGCCTGCTGACACCACTCCGCACACAGAACGCCCTCTCCAAGCACTGCAGCCTGCTGTCCAGCCCGAGGCTGAGGATGCGCGCCCCGGGGCCCTCCCAGTTACTGGATGAGGAGCTCTACTCCAGGCAGCTGTGAGGCTCGAGCCGGGTGGGGGCAGGGCGGCCTTCTGATCTCTCTTGCCTGCCTTCTTTACCTCCGCAGGTATGTGCTTGGCCCACCTGCCATGCAGAGGATGCGGGAAGCCAAGGTGCTGCTGTCAGGCCTGCAGGGCCTTGGGGCTGAGGTGGCCAAGAACCTGGTCCTGATGGGTGTGGGCAGCCTCACTCTGCATGATCCCTGTCCTACCTGCTGGTCTGACCTGGCCGCCCAGGTGAGGGTTCTGGGGAGTTATCGGTTCCCAGACCAGGGTGAGACAGGGGTCTCTGGGTTCCGATTGCACTGGGTCTCTCCCTAGTTTTTGCTCTCAGAGCGGGACTTGGGAAGGAGCAGAGCTGAAGCCTCTCGGGAACTCTTGGCTCAACTCAATGAAGCTGTCCAGGTGTCTGTCCATCTGGGTGACATCACCGAGGCCTTCCTGCTGGACTTCCAGGTGCCTCCCCCAGCCCCACTTTCCAGGCCACCCTAGCCCCTCATCCAGCCCCCAACAGCAGGGAAGCTAGGCAAGGGTTTGAGCCCTGCTGATGATGGCATGTGCCCAGGTGGTGGTACTGACGGCCTCAAAGCTGGAAGAGCAGCTGAAGGTGGGCGCCTGGTGCCACGAGCATGGAGTCTGCTTCCTGGTGGCCGATAGCCGGGGCCTCGTGGGGTGAGTGGCTGCTGCCAGCCCACCGCATCGCAGTCAGCAGCTGGCCCCCATGCTGTCCTCAGCTCCACGTTTGCTCTGGTGACCCTCCACCCTGCCAGGGCCTGGCCCAGCCCCTCTTCCCTATTCTAGTTCCCAGTCCCACCCACCTGCTTCCTCCTCCCCAGTCTCTAGACCTGCTGCAGTTACCCTCAAATGCTCACGCCCAGGCCTCTCCCAGAATTCCTTTTTCCAATTCCGGCCCTCCGGGCCTGCCCTAGTGTCCCGTATTCTTAACCACAACCTGCAAGCCGCCTCAGTGACCTTGCCACCCGCTCTAGGCAGTTGTTCTGTGATTTTGGTGAAAACTTCACTGTCCAGGACCCCACCGAGGCGGAACCACTGACAGCCACGATTCAGCACATCTCCCAGGTGGGTGCTGAGGGGTTGGCCTTTGCTTGCTGATCAGAGAAGCTGCCAAGGGCCTGAGGAAGGCAGGTACAGACACTTCTGAGCCAGGCCACCTCCTACCCAGGGCTGCCCTGGCATTCTCACTCTGCGAAGAGAGACTGTCCCCCACTCCTTCCGTGATGGGCACTTGGTGACTTTCTCAGGCATTGAAGGCATGGTTGAGCTCAATGGCTGTGATCCCCAGCCCATCCGTGTGCAGGGTAAGCCAATCCCACCCCTACTCCAGGCTCAATGCCCCAGTGCCTGTTGGGAGTGAGCAGTTGTCCTTCCGGGCAGGTTCTCCCTCCACCGTCCTCAGGGTTCAGCGATGTCTGGGATCCAGATGCCAGATGTGATGGGGCATGGGAACCACTCGGTTCAGCGGCCATATTTACCAGGCTGGGTTTGCCCCCAGAGGACGGGTCCTTGGAGATTGGGGACACAGCAACCTTCTCCCGTTACTTGCGTGGCGGGACTGTGATAGAAGTCAAGAGAGCTAAGACCGTGAATCACGTGAGTACAAGGGAAGCTTGGGCACCTTTAGGGGCCTGCAATATTCCGGACCCGCCCTGAGCCAAGTACCCCCTGCAGAAACCCCTGGAAACAGCCCTGCTGCAGCCCCAGGTCATGGCCTCGAGTTCCCAGCACCGTGTCCACTGCCTGCATCAGGCCTTCCGTGCGCTGCACAAATTCCAGGACCTCCATGGCCGGCCGCCGCAGCCCTGGGATCCTGTGAGTAGCCTCTTGGGCCCCACTCCCAGCCTCTGTCTTCTTGGGGTCTTGTCTGCCGGGAGGTAACAAAGAGCACTCACAGATCCAAGCTGAGATCCCAGGGGCGGTTTCCTTGCTCAAAATAGGGAAATGAAAAATCCCCATCACAGGAGGCCAGGTCCATGGGAAGTGCCAGGCACCACAGCCTGGGGACCCTTGCCACACCCTAGCCCTTAGATCCTGGCTGGAAACTGCACCCAGATTGGTGAAGCCTCCAGAGTCTCTGTCTGGTGCTCAGCTGCAGGTGGTGCTGCCCAGGCTGGCAACAGGGCCAGGCCTTCCCCCTCAGGCTATGGTTCCTGCTCTGTGGGGTAACAGGCTACATGGCCGCCTAAAGCGGTTGAGCAGGGTTGTGGAGCTCAGGCTGAGGCAAAAATGCCCACAGAGTCCCACAACACAGGTTGATGCAGAGGCTGTGGTGTGCCTGGCCCGGGCCCTGGGACCACTGAAGGGGACAGACGAAGAGCCGTTGGAAGAGCCACTGGATGAGGCCCTAGTGCGGATCACTGCTTTGAGCAGTGCTGGCAGCTTGAGCCCCATGGCAGCCTTGCTGGGTGCAGTGGCTGCGCAGGAAGTGCTGAAGGTGGGCACAGGCACAGGTGCGGAGAGGGGAGGTTCTGGGAAGGTGGGGCGGGCAGTGTGTGCCAGAGGGCACCCGGCACCAGACAGTGGCTCTGGAGGCTGGGTGTAGCCTCCGGTCAGCATCTGAGGGTGTGGGGAGGTGGCAGGAGCCCCCAGGCTAAGGTGCCAGCCCTCAGGCAATCTCGGGGAAGTTCATGCCCTTGGACCAGTGGCTGTACTTTGATGCTCTCGACTGTCTTCCGGAAAATGGGGACATCCTTCCCAAACCTGAGGACTGCGTCCCGGTGAGAGCCTGGTGGGGGGAAGGTATGGCTTTGTTCAAGATCAGGGCAGAAACATGAGCTCTGGTCCCCCGGTCCTGATTCAGAAGGCTCCATGTAAGAAGATGCAGGGCGGCCAGCAGCCGTCACTGACGGACCTCTCCGTGTGTCCCCTAGAGAGGCTGCCGCTATGATGGGCAAATAGCTGTGTTTGGGGCTGGATTTCAGGAGAAACTGAGCCGCCAGCACTACCTCCTGGTGAGCTGAGGGATGAGACCGCCAGTGGGGAGCGTGTCTGGCAGGGGCTGGGGCAGGCCATCTGGCTAAGGCTGCTCCTGCCGGCAGGTAGGTGCTGGCGCCATTGGCTGTGAGCTGCTCAAGGGCTTTGCCCTAGTGGGCCTGGGAGCTGGGGGCGGCGGAAGTGTGACTGTTGCCGACATGGACCACGTAGAACGCTCCAACCTCAGCCGTCAGTTCCTGTTCAGGCCCCAGGACATTGGTGTGAGTGACCTCTCCCTCCTATCCCGGTCCATGTCCCACAAGGCCCCAATCTTCTCACAGGCCCCTGCCCTGACCCAACATCTTCCGCCCTGCTTCCCAGAGACCCAAGGCAGAAGTGGCTGCTGTAGCTGCCCAGCGACTGAACCCAGACCTACAGGTGACTCCACTCACCTACCCGCTGGATCCCACCACAGAGCATGTCTACGGGGACCACTTTTTCTCACGTGTGAATGGCGTGGCTGCTGCCCTGGACAGTTTCCAGGCCCGTGAGTGCCTGACCTGACCTTGGAGCTCAGCCTCTTGCCCAAGGCTGTGCCAGGCCCAATTCTGACGCTCTGCCCCCTTGCCAGGGCACTATGTGGCTGCTCGCTGCACCCACTATCTGAAACCACTGCTGGAGGCAGGCACAGAGGGCACCAAAGGCAGTGCTGCAGTGTTCGTGCCAGACGTGACCGAGGGCTACAAAGCCTCGGGCTTAGCTGAGGACACCTCCTACCCCGTCTGTACCGTGCGGCATTTCCCGAGCACAGCTGAGCACACCCTGCAGGTGGGAAGCACCCCACCCGGCCCTGCCCCGTAGCTATGCACTTGTTGCCCACCTGACACCTCATCGTTCCTCCCTCCGCCACAGTGGGCTCGGGATGAGTTTGAGGGACTCTTCCGGCTGTCTGCAGAGACCATCAACCGCGCCCGACAGTAAGGACACCAACAGAGGCGGGTAGAAGGCCAGGGCTAAAAGCACCAGTGTCTGCCGAGCTCAGCCTCGACTTCCTTCTCTGTCCGCAGGGCACACACTTCCCTGGCAGATATGGACGGGCCACAGACACTGGCCTTATTGCGGCCAGTGCTAGGTGTCCTGAAGGCACGGCCACAGAACTGGGAAGACTGCGTGGTGTGGGCCCATGGCCACTGGCAGCTGCGCTTCCACTATGGCATCATCCAGCTGCTGAGTCATATCCCCCCTGATAGAGTGGGTGACCAGGGTCGGGGGGCTGAGGACTCAGCGGGACCAGACTGAGCACAGCAGCCTCCGTCTCCCTAGGTGCTTGAAGATGGAACTCTGTTCTGGTCGGGTCTCAAACAGTGTCCCCAGCCCCTGGAATTTGACATGGACCAAGTGAGTGGAGTCTCCAAGGGAGCCCCAAGGTAGAGATGTGGTGCCTCAGAGCACAGAGAGGCACCTCTGCATTCTGTAGAGATGCACAGACGCCAAGAAAGAGCCTGGGTGTCCCTGTGCGGAGCAGAGGCAGGCCAGAGATCCACAAGCAGACAGTGACCTCTCACCCTGTTCCCGATGTGCCTGCCTCTAACATGTCCCTGCCCCTACTCCCCATCTGGCCGCAGGAAAACCACCTCCTCTTCGTGCTGGCAGCTGCCAACCTGTATGCGCGAATGCATGGCCTACCCGGCTCGCTGGGCCTCGCTGCACTCAAAGGGCTGCTGCTGAAGTCGCTGCCACAGACTGACCCTCAGCGGCTGGCCCCCATCCTCACTAGGGCTCCAGAGAGGGATCAGGCTTCTGCTGAGTTTGGTAAGGCCCCTCCCTGGCTCTGGAGCGCTCCTCCCCTAGTGCTGCCACTCAGCAGCCTGCCCTGTCCTCAGCCTGTGCTGAAGCAGGAAGTTGGGACCTGGGGGCCCTAGTGTCAGTTTAGCACCTCTCGGGCTCCTTCTATGTTCGACTCAATCCTCTGGACCTCAGTAGGTCCTTCCTGCCGCTGACACCTTGTCCCAGTTCTGGCAGATTCTCAACAACAACAACAATGAAAAACAAAAACAAAACCCATCGGGTCCTCGGACTTGCCCAGCTGTGGTCCCTGGGAGAGGAGTCACAGAGTTCACGTGTGTGTGCACGTGTGCACACATGAATGCTCTCTCTCCCCATCGGGTCCTCGGACTTGCCCAGCTGTGGTCCCTAGGAGAGGAGTCACAGAGTTCACGTGTGTGTGCACGTGTGCACACATGAATGCTCTCTCTCTCTCCCCATCGGGTCCTCGGACTTGCCCAGCTGTGGTCCCTGGGAGAGGAGTCACAGAGTTCACATGTGTGTGCACGTGTGCACACATGAATGCTCTCTCTCCCCATCGGGTCCTCGGACTTGCCCAGCTGTGGTCCCTAGGAGAGGAGTCACAGAGTTCACGTGTGTGTGCACGTGTGCACACATGAATGCTCTCTCTCTCTCCCCATCGGGTCCTCGGACTTGCCCAGCTGTGGTCCCTGGGAGAGGAGTCACAGAGTTCACATGTGTGTGCACGTGTGCACACATGAATGCTCTCTCTCTCTCCCCATCGGGTCCTCGGACTTGCCCAGCTGTGGTCCCTGGGAGAGGAGTCACAGAGTTCACATGTGTGTGCACGTATGCACACATGAATGCTCTCTCTCTCTCCCCATCGGGTCCTCGGACTTGCCCAGCTGTGGTCCCTAGGAGAGGAGTCACAGAGTTCACGTGTGTGTGCACGTATGCACACATGAATGCTCTCTCTCTCCCCATCGGGTCCTCGACTTGCCCAGCTGTGGTCCCTGGGAGAGGAGTCACAGAGTTCACGTGTGTGTGCACGTGTGCACACATGAATGCTCTCTCTCTCTCCCCATCGGGTCCTCGGACTTGCCCAGCTGTGGTCCCTAGGAGAGGAGTCACAGAGTTCACGTGTGTGTGCACGTATGCACACATGAATGCTCTCTCTCTCTCTCTCTCACACACACACACTCACACACACAATTGGGGCTCCTGGGGAAGAAACTGCATCATCAGAGAAGAGGTTACCTGACTTGATCCAGGAATTGTAAGCAGCAGGCTTGGCAGTGACCGAGAATAGACACCAGGCTCCGGAAGAGGACAGGAGCTAGGGCTAAGGACTGCCCCAACACCCCTTCCTGTGACAGGCCCTGAGCTGTTGAAGGAGTTGCAGGAGGTCCTGGGAGTATGGAGCGAGCACCCTGCTCTGAACCCTCTGATGTTTGAGAAGGTGGGCACTCAAGGGGGGCGAGGAGTCAGGCTGAGGGGACTGTGCAGGAAGGTCAGCAGCCAAGAGGGCAGCTTTGGGACCCCTTGGCCCGGGTTCTTCTGGAGTAGTTCTCTCTCCCTGAGCCTCAGCCTGATTCTGTGATGGGTGGGGAGAGGGCGGGTACCTCCACTGAACTGCATGTAGACATGGGCCCTGGCACCCACTAAGAGAAACTGATGTGATTCGGCTGTCACAGGATGATGACAGCAACTTCCACATGGATTTTGTGGTGGCAGCAGCTAACCTGCGATCTCAGAACTATGGGATCCCACCTGTCACTCGGGCCCAGGTAACCCTGCCCCTTGGGGCTCATGTCTGAAGGTGTAGTCAAGCTCTAGCCCTACACCTTGGGCCCAGATTAAATCTCCTGTTGTTGGCAGGGCAAGCAAATTGTGGGCCGGATTATCCCAGCCATCGCCACCACTACAGCAGCAGTGGCAGGCCTGGTGGGCCTGGAGCTATATAAGGTAGTAGGTGGGTCACGGACCCTTGGTGCCTATCGTCACAGCTATCTGCACCTGGCTGAAAACCGCCTCCTTCGCTGGGTACCTTCCGCACCAGCCATCCAGATGGTGAGCCCTTGACACCCCAACCAGACCCTCATGAGGCCAGGATTTTCCTCAGGCCTACTCAGTGGAACAGGCCCCACCCCAGCTGCAGGCTCTCTCCTGGACCCAGACTGTGGGGGAGTCCTCAAGACTCCCTCCAGCCTTTCTCCTGCTGGGAAGCCAGGCTGGGACCTGTCAGACACAGGAAACAGCCGTCAGCCATCCCCCCCTGCCCCAGCCCTCTGCAGCCCTGGGTCTGGGGGAGCTGCAGCTTTAACTCATTAGTGGAGCCAGACATCCCCCACAGCCCCTCCTTCCCAGGAGTACCCCTGGGGGAGGTGGTGGGAAGGAGGGACTAGGCCCCAGCACCAAAAAGAAAGGGTCTGTCTGCCCCCTGCATGGCCTCTCCAAGCCGTGTTCAAGAGCAGCAGGCTTGCCACACAAGGGGGTGAGGGCTGCAGCCCTAGAGGGGAGGGTGCGTGTTGTGCATTAATGTCACAGGTGTGGGTGCATTGAGATCTGGGCACCCCTGGTGTGTGGGCATGAAGGGAGCAAGCCCACACATCTGTGTACCAGATGGGAGTGCATGGATGTGCTTGAGTGTACACATGGGTGTTCCTGTGAGTGCAAGCCCGGGAATTCCTCCAGCCGTGTGCTCAGGCTCTGCAGCAGTTGGCATTTCCTGAGGCACAGGAGGTGGGGGTGGAGGGAATGCCCCCACCAGGAGAGAGGGCAGAGGTCATGGTCCAGCCCTGGGCTTCTGCTGAGCAGCCCGAGGGTCCCTCTGGCCACAGTACACAGAGCCCCTCTGTGAGGTGCCCCACCTCTAACCAGCACACAGCCTGCCTTTGTCCACAGAGGGGACAGGGAGGGGGAGGAGCAGGAGTCCCATCTTGCCTCTAGCCTAGTCTCAGTTCGACCCTCGATGTGTTTCCGAGGGGGGCTGCCAGGGCCCTTGTGTCCTAGCCTCTGGCTGCCTGCTGCCCTTCTGCACTCAGCTCTAAGCACCAGAAACCCGACTTGAAACAGAAGGAAAGTGGAGACAGGAAGAGGAGGCCTCTAGGGACCATGTCCCCTGTTGGAATCTCTGGCCTAGTGGGTCCCTGATGGTCACTGTGCCGTTAGCACCTGGGTGCCCTGGCAGTAAGGCTGGGGGAACAGGGTGTGCCCCTGGCTTCCAGCCTCGCATCTGAGGAGCCAGCAACTTTATCGGAGATTGCAGCAGCCTCGCTCTGGCTTCCTGAGGAAGCCCCACCTCCTCAGCCCCCCCAACACAACTGGCCTGTGTGATGGATAGTCTGTTTCCCTGTGTGGGCCCCCCGGCCCCATTTCCTGTGCTGGCCCCAGCATGGCCGGGGGTGGGGGCTGAGACTCTGGGCCCAGATCCCACCTTCCACCCCCACCGCTGGCTCCTGCTTCCTGCTTCTGGTCCAGCTCCTCCCCTAGGAAAAGCTGCTAGTAACGGGATAGGGGTTGGGGGTTGGTGCGAGAAGCCTCTCACTCCTCCCCATTGCCACCCCCTAGTTCCAGAGCCTGGAGTGGACCTGTTGGTACCGCCTGAAGGTGTCTGCTGGGCAGCCCGAGAAGAGCCTGCAGTGGCTGTTGGCCCATCTCCAGGTGTGCCCTGTCCCCTCCCCGCCCAGCCGTGCCCCCAGCCCCAGCCCCCGTGGACACACAGGGAAAGCATGCTCTCTCTCCAGGAGCAACATGGGCTGAGGGTGAAGATGCTGCTGCATGGCACGGCCCTGCTGTATTCAGCCAGCTGGTCACCTGCAAAGCAGGCCCAGTTCCTGCCCCTCAGGTGAGCCCATACCCGGGACCAGGCCCACCTGACCATGGAGGTTGAGGAGGGGGCTGCACAGCCTCTCCTCCTCCCATCCCTACTCTGGGCCCCTCACACCTTCCTGAACTATTCTTTCACCAAATGGAGCTGGCAAATGGGCTGGGGGCGGGGCAAGGGCTGAGACTGAGGAGGGGCCTTCAGGAGCTGCCTGCTTGGCCAGCTCCACTGGCTCCCCCACTCCCTGCCCAGCCCCACCCCCCACAGCCCACTCCCAGGGGACCCACAGCTTCCTGCCTCCTAGGGCAGCGTCAGCAGCTCCTAAAATAGTTTCAGATGTTTCCTGTCTTGAGTTGCTCCCGCTCCTTGCTTCTCCTGGCTGTGGCTCCCGGTGGCTCACCAGCACCCTCTGGTCCAGGCCAGGTTGCCCTCTGTCTGCCACGGCTCACCTACCCAATAACCCTCTCTTCCTACCAGCGTGACAGAACTCGTTCAGCAGGTGACAGGCCGTGCGCATGAGCCTGGCCTGCGGGTACTGGTCCTGGAGCTGAGCTGTGAGGGCGAAGAGGAGGACACTGCCTTCCCACCTCTGCACTATGAGCTCTGACAAGGCAGCTGCTGCTGCACCGTCCAGCTCGACCAAGCCCTCCTTCACCAGCCCTGCTTCTTGAGCCTACAGTAGGCACTCAATAAATGCTCACCAAAGAAACGTGTAAGTGGAGAAGATGGACAGAATCCCATGCAGTAATGCACACAGGCGTGACACGGGCATGACAGGTGCCCTCTCATGACTCGTTCGAATGGCCTGCCTGAGCTGTGCCTCACAGGGCCGAGGCTGTCTCCTGGAGCCTCAGAGATAAGAGCCTGGAAGGTCTAGAAAAAGGCCTTTATTGCCCCTGGCTGGAGGACAGGGTCAGAGGTAGCTGACATCATGGCATATGATGGGCTGCCGGCTGCGGCAACTCATGAGCGCCGCAAATCGTGACACGTCCGTGGGCAGCTCGGGTTCTGGGCGAGGCGGACATGACAGACGCTTTCCTGCCATAGCTGCCCGCCGGGCCCTGGCCAGCCGGCGCCGCAGCTGCTCAGAGAGGCCAAGGAGGAACTGGGGGGGCCGAGTGCGGGCACGGGGTTCACCTCTATCACCCGCCTCACTTGCTGCCTCAGGCAGCTCCATCCAGTTATGAACCAAGTCAGCAAAGCAGTTGTCCCCTAGCACTAGGGGCTGGCGACTGCGACCCCTGTTCAGCAGGGCTGCTGTCCAGTCTTCCGCTTCCAGTCCCTGCCAGTGCTCCAGGCAGGCATCTGGGGTGGACTTGGGCCGTGGACGGCAGGCAGGTGGTGTACGGGCTACAGATGCCCTGCTGGGCAGAACGAGGCCACTGACAGAGAAGCGCTGGCTATGAGGGGGTCGTGGTGGGGGTGCTGGGCGCTGGAGTACCGGCAGCTCTTCCTCTCGCCACGTGCTGCCTGACACCTCGGAGAAGCCAGAGTCCCAGTCCAGAGCATGCTCCCTGGGGCCCCCTGAGGCTGCACCCTGGCCTTCGGTCACCACCGCTTCCTCCTCCTCCTCCTCCTCCTCCACACAGCAGCTAGAGTCCTCTTCCAAGGCATCTGACCCCCTGAGGGGGTGGGTGGTGGTCTGCACACCTGGGCCACTTTTGGGAGGTAGATGCAGGGGGCCAGGCATCGGTGGTGAGCCTGTGTCCCGGCCACACAACTGAAGTGAAAGAGAGGGCAGAAGTCGGAGGAGTGTCGCTTGTCACCCTGGCTGCCCAGCCAAGCCAGAGGGTCCGGGAGAGCTTGCTAGGCCTGCTGGCGTGGGCAGCAAGACCACCTGCGAGCACAGGGCCAGCATGGGGGCGCTGGCACGAGAAGCTCATGTGGCTCCCATTTGCCGACCTGGTGGCAGTCCGGCATGCTGCGGCACGCTGGGCCGGGCAAGTCGGCACCCGCCACCAGGCCGGCGGGCAGGGTTACGGGCCTGCATCGGGAAGTAGGTCCTGCCAGGGCCCGGGTGGGGGATGCGTCCCGTGCCTCTTAGGGGGATTTAGCTCCCCAAAGCCCATAGCGACTTTTAGAGGAAGACAGCGCTTTGATGGTGAGGAGTGTGGTACGAGGTGCAGGTCGGCCTGGCATGCGGAATGTCCACAGCAGCGCCCGCACCTCCTTAGTCCCTTGCCTCCCGCGCCCCGCCCCAAAGGAAGTCCCCCCCCCCACATCCCTCCTCCCCAGCAGCGTGGCCAGCTGGGCGGCTGTTACCTGATGCCCAGCGCAGCTCCCGGCCCTCCGACATCCGACGCGGGCCATCTGGGCCATCTGCACCGCACCTCCCCGCCCCCATCCTGCCTCAGAGGGGCGCTCGGGACGATCCCCCACCCGTTTATTGTTCCGGCCGGACGGCAGCCGGGCACCCCACGCAAGTCCTCAGGAGCCACACCCGCCCGCTCCCCAGCCTCACCAATTCCCAGCGCAACTGGTTCAGGAAGCTGTCAAGCCGAGCGCTGTGCATGTCCACGCCGGAGCCCCCGCCGGGCCTGCCAGCTCCTATTCGAGTCCCGGCGGGAGCGGCGCAGAGAGGGCCGGGCCGGCCGGCCAGCGGCGCCCGCACCCCGCGCCTCGCTCCGCGGCTGCTAGGTCTGTGTAGCGCCCGCCGCCGCCGCCCCAACATCTGGCAGCCGCGCCCCGCCCCCATAGGCTGCGGCGCCAGACGCGGGGCGGGGCTGAGACGGCCCCGCCCCGCTCTGCCGGGCCGGGGGCTCGGTGACGGCTCGGGCCAGGGCGGGGCTGCAGCTGGAAGCCGGACGGGGGAGGGCTTGGGACCCCTGGACGCTCCGCGCGACAGAATCGTCCCTACGTTCACTGCTGGACGCTTCCCGCGGTGGCCTCAGCCTCCCCATTTGTCCCATGGGGAAATAGCGGGCGCTCCTACAGTAGGGCCCCCCGTGCTGCGCCCACGTGCGGGCATACCCACTCGGAGCCTGGCCCATGCCTGAGGCCGGCTTGCACAATCCCTGGAAGTGATGTGAGCGGGGTTCGGCCCTTCTGAGGACCGCAGGACTTCGCGCGGTGCGGCGGGCCCGCCCCCTAGTGGTGAGCGGCGGCCGACAGCGAGTGCCTTTCAGACCGAGGGCCGGGGAGGGGCTGGGAGAAGACGACCCTGGATGCCTGGAACGGGCAGTCTGTCCTCAGAGGCCGTATGAGCAGAAGTTGGGCTCGAGGGTAGAGTGCCCCTGGAGAGACTGGGCATATCATCAGGCGGGGAAATTTCCTGAAGTGAGAGAGGTGGGCCAGCTTGGAGGAGGGGACACCCAGAAGAGGTGATATTAAGCAAGATACAGTCTCGGGGCGACCCTGTGGCATAGCGGATAAAGCCATCTCCCGCGACGTTGGCCTCCCATATTGGCACCGGTTGGTGTCCGGGTTGCTCTACTTCTGATCCAGGTCTCTGCTAATGGCCTGGGAAAAGCAATGGAGGATGGCCCAAGTGCTTGGGCCCCTGCACTCATGTGGGAGACCCAGATGGAATTCCAGGTTCCTGGCTTCAACCTGGCCCAACCCCTGAAGTTCCAACCATTTGAGGAGTGAACCAGTGGATGGAAGATCTGTTCTCTCTCCTCCCACCGTCCCCCATCACTTTGTCTTTCAAATAAAAATATCTTAAGTAAAAAAAAAAGGAGGGGGGAGGTAGAGCCTAGTGGTTAAGACACCCAGGTCCCACATCTGTGCTCCTGGGTTCTATTCCCAGCTTCAGCTCCCTATTGTGGCATCCTGCCAGTGCAGACCCTGGGAGCCAGAGCTGATGGCTCAAGTAATTGGGTTTCTGCCCTCCTTGTGTTTCCAGTTCCTGGCTCTGGCCCTGGCCCAGCCCCTGCCATCTCAAGCATTCGGGGAGGGAACCAACCAGAAGATGGAGAGCATTCTCTCTCTCTCTCTCTCTCTCTCTCCCTCCCACCCTCCCTCCCTCTAACTTTGTGTGTGTGTGCCTGTGAAGTGAATGATTTTTAAGGAGCATCCTAGGCAGAGGAATAGACAGTGTCAAGACACTGAGAGGGGCAGGCGTGGTGGTGCATCGGGTTAAGTCTCTGTCACTTGGAAGCCCTGTATCCCATAGCTAAATGCCAGTTGCAGTCCCAGCACTACCACTTCTGTTCCAGCTCTCTGCTAATTCACTCTATAAGGCAGAAGATGATGGCCCAAATGCGTGGGCCCCTGTCACCTGTATGAGAGGCCTGGATGGAGTTCCTGGCTCCTGGCTTCTGCCTGGCCCAGCCTAAGCTGTTGCAGCCCTTTTGGGAGTGAACCAGCAGATGGAAGACTTCTCTGATTCTGTTTTTGCCTTCCTCTGTCACTCTTTAAAATGAATAAATCTTTTTAAAAAGCCAATTAGGCTAATCCTCCACCTTGTGTGCTGGCACACGGGGTTCTAGTCCCGGTCGGGGTGCCGGATTCTGTCCCGGTTGCCCCTCTTCCAGGCCAGCTCTCTGCTGTGGCCAGGGAGTGCAGTGGAGGATGGCCCGAGTACCTGGGCCCTGCACCCCATGGGAGACCAGGAGAAGCACCTGGCTCCTGCCTTCGGATCAGCGCGGTGCGCCGGCCGCGGCGGCCATTGGAGGGTGAACCAACGGCAAAGGAAGACCTTTCTCTCTGTCTCTCTCTCTCTCACTGTCCACTCCTGCCTGTAAAAAAAAAAAAAAAAGCCAATTAGGTCTAAAGAAAATGAAATAAATACAACAAAAGGACATATCATAAAGATGCATCTCAATAAATGTCACAACTTGCAGACACCTGTGCAGCTGCTGCCCAGGTCAGGAGAGAGAGCACCCCTCACCACTCCAGGTCAGGAGAGAGAGCACCCCTCGCCACTCCAGGAAGTTTCCTGTTCCCCTCCAGCTGATAGTCACCAAACATAACCATTCTTAGTTACTGTCACCATGGGTTCCTTTGGCTTGTTGAAAGTAGAAAACTTCTGAGCGATTTGGTTGATAGGCTCAATTTTTAAAAACTTTTCATCTTTTTGAAAGGCAGAGTAACAGAGAGGGATAGAGGTATCCTCCAACTGCTGGTTCACTCCTCAGATGCTACAAAGCAGGCTGGCAGATGGAAGCAGAGCCTGAACCATTGGTCTTCATGGGTGCAGACCAAGTACTTGGGCCATCAACTTCTACTTCCCAGGGTGTGCATTAGTAGTTAGGTGGGTTAGAAATGGAGGAGGCAGGATTCAACCAGCACTGTGATATGGGATGAGGGCTTCCCGTGCTGCGACCTAACCACCGTGGTAAACACTGGCTCCTGGGCTCGGATGTTATGCGCAGGTAGTATTCTGATGCGTGGACAGCAGGAGTTCAGAGCAAGGGAAGCAGCAGGTCTTGGGCTCAGTGTTCCTGGGCTCTGTTCGTGCTCTGTCTCTGAGGGCTGTGTGACCAGTGTGGACCCGTTTCCTCCCCTCACAGCTCCTTAGGGCTGAGCTAATGAAAGGGAGAATTCACAGGGAAGTGTGGAAAATGGGATTTTCCAGGCTCTGGAAGCTTGCCCGGGGACCACAGCTCCGGCACCAGGAATGGGCGGGGCTGGAGCCTGCAGGCCCAGGAGCCCCGCCTGCCCAGCTGTGTTTGAGCAACTGACCTGGCAACGGGTTGGGCCTGGTGGACACCCTCCGCTGCTGTCTACCCTGAGGCCACCATGCTGCTTCTCGGGCTCCTGGTGCTGCATTTTGCTCTGATGGTCTCTGGTGAGGATCTGGTGGGTGAGGGAAGCCCAGGTTTTCCTCAAAGTCTCAACCCCTCTCCGATAAGGTCCAAGAGGCAGGGGCTGGGGGAGAACCAGGAAAGGGTTAAGTCTGAACCCCTGACCCTCACTCTTTAATTTGACTGCTTCAAATTCTTACTCCCCATGTGTGAAAGTGTAGGGGCCAGGAAGGGCCTTGGCTACTTGAGCCCAAGATAACTGCCCGCCAGGGTCCTGGGGCAGGAGGGCGGAGCTGCGCTTGTATCCATGGAGCTGTGAGCGCAGAGGGCCTCTGGCCTGAATTCTCTGCTCCCCACAGACCTCAGCGGCCTGCCCTGGTTCATAAATGTCTCTGAGAGCCAGGGTCCGGGCACTGCCCTGCAGCCATTCTCCTTCAACTGCTCCTCCTCCACGGCCAGCCTGGAGTTGCTCAGCGTTCAGCCACCCACCACCTTCTTCAATCCACCCAGTCTGACCAGGTGGCAGGGGAGCTATGTGGGCAAGGTAGTGCCACGGGTACACCTGGGGATGGTGGGGGCACAGGGGCAGACTGGAAATCCCCAGAGACAGCAGTGGTAGGAGGGGCTGGAGAGCCTGCACCCCACAAAGCACTGCCCACCCACCACAGGTGACCTTGAGCAGCTCAGCTCGGCTGAACGCCCTGGAGGTGAACCACTATGAGCTGCAGCTGCAGTTCACGTGTGGCAACCAGGTGATGCGGGGGCCACTCTCTGTGGATGTGCAGCGGGACCCCAGCCGTGTCCGCTGTGCTGGTCGGTTTGCCAGCCCAGGTGAGCCCAGGGGCAGCAGACAAGGGGGCGGGGCAGGCGCAGCCTGAGCAGATCCTCCCTGACCTACCCTCTGCGCAGCTGGGGAAACCATTCAGGTGCTGGAAACAATCACGCCTGGGGCCCGGCTCTACACTCTGCTGCTCCCAGGCTTAGAACTCCAGGGCGCCCAGGTGAGCTCAGCGGTGCAAGACAGAATGATGGGGCCAGGGAGAGCGAGCCCAGCCTCTGCCTGGCCAGGCCCCGCCTGCAGAGGGACCCTGCAGGACACAGCTAAGCCTCTGAATGATGCGTGTTCCGGGGGAGAACCACTGAAGGTCACCCGTCTCCCAGTTACACAGCTCTTCCTGTAGGGACATCCCAGGGGCTGTGTTCTTTCTCTTATGTATTCTGAGTTCTCTGTGACAATTTTATCACTTTCGTAATCCAAAAAATAAATGAGTTTAAAAGCAAAAGAGTAGGGTTAAAAGCAGAAAGGACAAAGGATTAGGGCCAGGGCTTAGGCTGGGGTAAGAGTCACCGGCAGGGCATGGGAAAATTGTGTGTGGGCAGGTACCTGCTGGGTTGTTGGGGGATCTTGACAGGGCTCCTTGGGGCACTGGAGGGTGGGTGGGGCCACCGGCATCTCTGTTTTGTCAGATGAGCATTATCAGTGCCCAGGACCCCCCACACTTCCCTGGACCTTTCTCCATCAATGAGCAGGGATGGCTGCGGGCACCACCCCAGGGCCTCAAAGGCCAGGCTCAGAAGGTGAGTATGACCGGCCCCTGGGGGTACCCACGCACTGGGCGGAGCCACCAACTTTGGGAAGGCTTCCTCAGCCTCCTCCACGAATAGTGCCTCTCCCAGACCTCCTGCACCCACTCCCCTATGCTGGCTCTCTCCTACCTTGTCCTGGTTCTGTGCTGGGCCCTGGAGTTCTAGGAAGCAGAGGGGCGCCCTGGCTCTAGGATCTCACAGGCCCTCTACTAGCAAGGAGAAGACACGGGATAAAGTGGCCAGTGCAGTCTGGACAAGCTTAGAGAAGTTCCCTTCTAAGAAGTTCCAGCTCTCAGTGACTGGCTCTGGGCAACTCTAAGGTGGTAATTTCCATCGTAAACAACTCCTAGCTGTCTTTCTTGGGACTTATGGCCCACAGGTGCAGGGCTCGAAGGAATACTTGTCAGCAGAGTGACAGGTCCTAAGAAGGGGTGAAAGTTGGGGTTCCTTGAAGAGCTCCTGAGGGGGCTACCTGCTTGTTGGGAGAAGTGAGTGTAAACGTAGGGGAGGCCGCACCCTGTGGTTCTCTCCCGTTCTGTGTGCACTGCAGGTCTTCCAGCTGCGGATCTCAGTATCCCTTAGACAAGGCCAAAGCTGCCAAGGGATGGTGACGGTGAAGGTTTTGCCTGCTCCCTCCAGCCAGGTCTCTTTCCTGTAAGCATCCCCCACCTGGGTCAGTGGGAGAGGCAGGACCTAGCAGCAAGAGTCAGGAGTAGGGGAGAGTGTATCCCTGGCTCCCCTGGGAGGGGAGCCACAGGGAAGGAGCCTGTGGACCCTGCTGAGAGGGTCCCCATTTTGGTTCAGGCAGCATGCCCAGAATATCACCATTCCTGATAACCTGGACCCTGGGAGAGAGGTGTTTCACGTCCAGGCACGGGGCTCCGACGTGCGCTACGAAATCCTCTCCCCGGTGCCCAGCCCGTTCTACTCCATCGGCCGTGGTGAGGGGTGTGGGGCTGTGGGTACTGTGATGCCTCTGTGACCAGCCCAGAGGTGACCCTTGCTACCTCCTCACCCTCCTGAGAAAGGAGGCCAGAGCCAGGGCTGAGACTGGGGTGACGTCGGGTTTTGTGGGCCTGGCCTTGGAGGAGAGGTGGCAGGAGCGATCAGCCCCTCCTGGATGAATCCAGCGGGAATGGTGAGTGGGAGTGGGGGCAGGGCTGAACTCTGCGTCGCCGCCCTCCCACCTTGCCCATCAGCCGACGGCGTGATCCGGACCACTGCGTCCCTGGAGCTGGCTCGTGCCCCAGATGCGGCAGTCACCAGGCTGCAGGTGAAGGCTTTTGAGCGGCTCCAGCCGTGGGCCGGCGCCAAGCTCGATCTCACAGTGATTGTTCAGGGGGCCAACCACTGGCCCCCACGCTGCTTCCCGGCACTCCTTGTGTGAGTACGCGCTGGGCTGTGGGGCGAGGCCGGTGGGTGGTTGACAGCTAGGCCAGACTTCCCGCCTGGCCACCCACCTGCCCTACCCTCTCAGGACTCAGATCCCTGAGACTGCACCTGTGGGCATGGTGCTGCGCACCCTGGACTGCACTGACCCGGACGCTGCTGACACCATCCTCGACTACCAGCTGTGGTTCCACAGCCCTCTCAGCCCTGCCAGCCTTCGCCTTCGAGACAGTGTCCTGGAGGTGCCTGGCCCCTGGCTCCCAGGCCCACTCGTAGGGTGCCTGGGGCTGGAAGCCATGGATGGGCCAGGGGGCTGGGGGAGGGAGATGGTGGGGGAAGGGGCCTGGCAAATGGCAGTCAGGGTGGCTCATGGCTCCCTCAGGCCTTGACTGGGCCTCCTCCTCTGCCCCCCTGGCCAGGTGAATGCCACCCTGGACTGTGACGCTCCTGGGGCCTGCATGCAGCTTGCAGCCTCCATCCTGGTGCTCGATGGTGGTCAGCCCCAGATGACCAGTGAGTGCCCATGCCCAGGACAGGGCTTTCCCATTCCCCACTTCCCATCTGCAAAACAATTTCTCTCCCTCTTTAGAAACCAATGGGGCTGGCACTGCGGCTCAATAGGCTAATCCTCCACCTTGTGGTGCCGGCACACCGGGTTCTAGTCCCGGTTGGGGCGCTGGATTCTGTCCTGGTTGCCCCTTTTCCAGGCCAGCTCTCTGCTGTGGCCAGGGAGTGCAGTGGAGGATGGCCCAAGTGCTTGGGCCCTGCACCCCATGGGAGACCAGGAGAAGCACCTGGCTCCTGCCTTTGGATCAGCACGGTGTGCCGGCTGCGGTGGCCATTGGAGGGTGAACCAATGGCAAAAGGAAGACCTTTCTCTTTGTCTCTCTCTCTCACCGTCCACTCTGCCTGTAAAAAAAAAAAAAAAAAAAAAGAAAAGAAAAGAAAAAGAAAAAGAAACCAACGGGGCAGGATCCTCTCCAGTCTGGACCCCAGGGGTATCTTAGACTCCAGCTGGGGTGGGCTCTCCTCTCCAGTCTCCCTCCAGACCATCTCCCTCCTTAGGCCCCCAGGGCAGGGCTGGGCATCCCAGGCCAGATTTCTGACTGTCAAATGGCCCCCAGCTGAGGTGCCAGTATTGGTGATGGTGACACCCGTCAATGAGTTCTCCCCAGCCTGTGTGCCACAAACGTTCCGGGTTCGGGAGGATGCAGGGCCCCACACTCTGCTGGGCTCCGTGGTAGGCACAGATCTGGATTACCCACACAACAGCATTGAGTACTACGTCTCAGGTGGGCCTGCCACCTTCGCCGTGGACCGTCTCAGTGGTACTTCCACCCAAGGGCTGGGAGGGAGGGCTGGGGCCAGCATTGGCTCCGCAGGCTGAGGCTGTGGCCGCCCCCTCCAGGAGAGGTTCAGCTCCTGGGGCCTCTGGATTATGAGCAGCAGAGGTTGTACAGGCTGGCTGTCCTGCTGATTGACCATGGCCAAGACCAGGACCCCACTTACCACCGCTCAGGCTCCTGTACCATTACCATCGAGGTTGAGGTGATTGAGCCCTGAGGCCTTGCAAGGGCCTGGAAAGACAAGTGTTCGGATTGCCTTTTGGCGTTCTGCTTTTCTATTCTGGGCCTCAATTTCTTCCACTGGTTGGCTGGAAGGGAGTGGGAGTGATGCCTAGGCTCTGGCTGTGGGTGGGGGGGAGTCCGAGGTGCTGGCCTGGGGGTTTGGGGAGTGGGCTGTGCCCATGCCTAACCTGGCTGCCTTTCTACAGGACGTGAATGACCAAGCCCCTGAGTGTGAGCCCCCCTTTCAGGAACTCACCATCTACCCTCCCCCGGGCCGTAGCGTGGAGGTGACTAAGATGTCATGTCAGATCCCCCAGGAGCCCCAGCGCCTGGCCTTCTCCTACAGCATCGTGAGAGGTGGGGTCTGTGGGGACCACAAGGCTCTGGGAGCCGGGCAGGCCAAGGCCAGCCAAGGAGCCCTCCGGCTGCTTCTCTGCTTTCAGGGAATAGCCAGAGGCGATTCAGCCTGCAAGGGGCAGTCCTCATGCACAATGGCCCTGTGTTGGGGCTCCCCTGGCCAGAGCAGCCCCGTACCTATGAGCTGCTTATCCGTGTGGCGGACAAAGGCCCCTCCAGCCCCCACCTCAGCACCACGGCCACCATTATTGTGCATCTCATTCCCTGGAGGGCCAGCACAGTGGCTACCAGCACCCACAGAACCACAATGAGGGTATCGGCAGGCCCTCAGGGTGTGGGAGAGAGGAACTTGGAGGGGGGTGAGGGGTGCCAGTGTGTCCAATGGAACAATGGGGAAGGCATTCCAGAGAAAACTGTTGATTGCGGAGAGACTGATGTGGAAGAATGACCCTGGGGTGTGGGATGGCCGGACTTCTGCCAGGGCAGTGGTGAAGTTGTGCCCCTTTCAGGTTTCCTCAACGATGACACCCCTGCTTGTGACAAGCACAGAGGTTGTCTGGCAGCCAGAGTCCTGGTTTGTGGTGGTACTGACAGCGACTGGTGTGCTTGTCCTCTTGGCTCTGAGCTGGTCCCTTAGCAAGCTCACCCAGGGGTAAGACTCCTAGCCCTAAACCCTCTGTCTGCGTCTGGCCCGCCCATGGCTATAATAGGTGGTCTCACCCAAGATTTCATGACAGTGCCCACACTGGTGGGCAGACAGACTGAGATTGAGGAGGGCCTTTCCTCTAGAGGCCTTCCGATGAAAGTCAGAGAACACTAGGAGGAAGAAGCTCCCATCACTGGCAAAGTCCATTCTTGGGGTGGGATGGATGGGGAGGAGGCTCTGGCCTTGGTCTGTTGTCCATGGGGCATTTATCTCTGTTCCTGACCCCTGCCCTCCACTTGAAACCTGCCTGTCTCCCATAAACTCTTAATTCCTTGTGGGTATAGGACTGAGCCCAAGGAGGAAGGGTGACAATGCGGGCATCACATACAGACATTGGCTGGCCCCGACATAAATAGACAAATGAGTGGCACTAGCTTGTGGAGCCAGCAGGCTTGCTTCCCTCACTGTTTGGTTCCTCCTTTAGGTTGACCCAAGTGCTGCAGGCACCAAGCAAACCAGCCCAGGCCCTCCGGCTAAACAGGTCAGTCTGCTTTGCACTCCCATGGCTGGGAGCCTCCCCTCTTAAACTCAGGCTGAGCTCAAGCCTTGTCCTACACTCCTGTTCCTCCTCTTCCCCAGCATCCAGGGAGCTGACGGGTCCTTTGAAGGGTTCATGGAGGCACAGAGGATGGAGCTGCCCCAGGCACCAAACGGCATCATGAGCTTGGTATATCAACTCCCCATCCCAACCAGGGGACACCAGATCTGCTCCAGGCACTCTCCTGTCCCTGCTGCCCTCCCTGCCTCTCCAGGGTGGGCCTCCCTCTACTCCCCCGTGGGCAGCGTTCAACTCACCCCGCCCTCTCCTTCTCTTCAGCAGCATTTTGATGGCAGAACACAGGACTCTTCTCAAACCCTTTTACGCATGGGCCCTCAGCTCAACTCAGGATTTCCTGCTACCACCAAGCACCTACCACCTGCTTTTTCCTGAATGGGGTATGCTCTCACCCCTACTCACTCTTCAGCCAATTTTTGCCAAATACCAGCGGGACCTGGTCCTGTCCATGGTGGGAAGGGAGATGGTGGTCAGGGGAGATGCCCTCAGAGGCACCAGTGGCACCAGTGAATGCTGGCAGAGAAGTCTGATGCTGGCCTAGGGAGCCGGTGTCCAGTTATGGAGGCTCAGACCTGAGAGATCCGCTGAGGGGGAAGGGGGAGGACAGGGTGAATCCCAGCCGAGGAGGAGGTCACATCAAGGGTCTGGAATGTCTTCGCTTCCCCTTGGGCGGGGGACAGTTCTGCTGATGCCAGCAGGGCCCTCCCCCTCTCCCTGTTATCTGGGCTTGGGTACAGGCCGAGACCACCTGTTCAACACGCACACCAGAGCCCGGCGCTGGGTCTGAGGCCAAGCAGCTGCTCCACTATGGGTGGAATTTTTTTTTCCCGTGATCTTGAGCCATGTTTCCAAGTTGATTCGATAATAAACAAAATTGCAAATAGAAAAGCCCCAGCCTTGTCATCTGCCTGTGGGAAAAGTGCTGAGATCTGTGCTTCCTTGTTCTCCCTTGGAGAAGCGCTCTCTCTGGGTACACTCTATGGAGAAGCAGGTTATTTTTCTTGGAAGAAGGCATTTTGCCATGTACCTACATTTGGAAGAAATGACGGCTATTACATTTGTCATTGTCTGAGGGGCCAGTTCATTCTTCCCCTCAGAGGCCACCTGCTTCCGTTTCCTACTAAGGGGAGCACACTATTGCTGTTTTTTCTTTTTCTTTTAATAAACTTATCTTTTAATTCCATTTTCCCACAAACTTTTGAAGTTTATTCATTTTCATTTTATTTGAAAGGCACAGAGAGAGAGAGAGAGAGAGAGAGGTATCTTCCAATGGCTGGTTCAGTCTCCAAATACCTGCAACAGCCAGGGTTGGGTCAGGCAGAAGCTGGGAGTCGAGTTCCAGCTGGGTCCCCTGTGTGGGCAGCAGGGGTCCAAGCACTTGACCACATCTGCTACCTCCCCAGGATGTGCCTTAGCAGGAAGCTGAAAGTGGAGTAGCTGGGATTTGAACCCAGGTGTGCCAACACGGGATGCGGGTGGCCCAAACAGTGACTTAACCGCTGTGCCAAACACCTGCCCATTGTTGTTTTCTGAGTGCACTTTACCAGCTGTGTGTAGAGATTTTCTTGGGAAGACTCCGAGTTTCTTCTCTGAGTTGAGTAATAGGATAGACTTGAGGACCCTGTAGTTTGGCTGGTCCTGGTGGGATTGATGGAAGCCCCTTTCTGAGGAGTGTTCCACTTTCTTCCTGATATTTCTCCTGCTCCCTCTGTCCTGACTCTCTCTGTGCTTAGCTGAGGTGGCCAGGTCGCCCACAACAACCTGTAGGAGGGCAGGCTTGCTGGACACAGCGCTGGCCTCCTCCCCATGCCAGCCTGGCGTCAGGTCCCAGGCTGCTAGTAGCTTTCCATCACCGTGAATGGGATGTCCCAGGTTATTTCAATCTTCCCTGCTCTGTCAAGTCTGTAGCCTGAACCATCTCAGGGTCCTGGAGGGCCCCCCTTTCTGAGCCAGGCGCAAGAAGAAGCTGAGGCTCTTTTGGGAGAAAAACCCCCTTCATGGGTCTCCCATCAAAGTGCAAGCATTCGAGCAGGCCTCGGGGACAGCCACGGAAGCAGGTGGATACAGAAAGTGGCTGCAGGTGGATTTTCCTGCTCTAAGTGTTACAGGAGCTGGCTGGAATGGAGGTTCTTGTCTTCCCATAAGAAAAGGGTCTCAGACGTGAGACAGACTAGTGGTAAGCAAGGCAGCAAGTTTCAACGAGGAAGGACATCTGTCAGAGCAGCTGGGCACCTCCGTAGACAGAGCTGAGAGAGTGCCCATTCAGGCTGGTGGAATGCATGGTTACAAAGCTTAGTGAAGAGAATGCACCTGACAGGCCACGGGACCCTCAGCAGAGGACTGGGAGCTGAGAGCTGGGAGCACAGCCTGCACTCAGATGGCTGCTGATAAGCGTAGGGGACCCAGGGTCTTACCACCATTCTCCCTCCCTCTAGTCTCTTCTCCTGGAAAACAAACAAACAAACAAACAAACAAAAACACTTGCTGGGGGTGAAACAGGTGAAATTCCTCCTAACTTTATCACCTGATGATGATGACATTATCAAACTGGGTAGTCCTCTTGGGAGCGGGCAGAGAGGGTTCTCCTGGAGTGCTTTCCTTAGGGGGATGGCTAGGACCACCTCTAAAGTTACTGGGTTGCACTTTGTTGTGTAACGCACTGGCCTGCTTCCACCGCACAAGTTCTGAAGCTGCTACTCTGCTACTTGTGTTTGCTTTCCATACCTGCTGTTTTCTTTAGGCCCCTTTCCCACACAAAGACTAATTCCTATCTTTCTACCTAACATAAGGGATCATTTAATTTTTTTTAAAGATTTATCTACTTATTTGAAAGGCAGAGTTACAAGGAGGCAGAGAGAGAAGTTTTTCATCCACTGCCCCACTCCCCAGATGGCTGCAATGGCAGAAGCTGCGCCAATCAAGCCAGGAGCTGGGAGCTTCTTCTGGGTCTCCCACATGGGTGCAGGAGCCCAAGGACTTGGGCCATCTTCTACTGCTTTCCCAGGCCATAGCGGAGAGCTGGATTGGAAGTAGAGCAGCCAGGACTCGAATTGGCGTCTCCATGGGATGTCGGCACTGCAGGTGGTGGCTTTACCTGCTACAACACAGTGCGGCCCTCATTTTCTTTTTATAAAGATTTATTTATTTACTGGAAAGGCAGAGTTACAGAGAGGCAGAGGCAGAGAGGTGGCGGGGTGGGAGGGAGAGAGTCAGTCTTCTGTCCACTGGTTCACTCCCCAGGTGGCCACGCCCGTGCCACCTTCTTAAGTAGGAAGTCAGAAATTGAGCTTATGTGTATGTGTGAGACAGGCCTGAAGACCCACCTGCTCCAGAAGCCCAGCGTCTTGCACTTCAAAGTCCTGCTCAGACCCTGATAACCTCCCAGGTGCTCCCAGCCCTTCCCCCAGGGAAAGCTCCCAGGAGAATTCTCTTTCAGGACCAAAGGGGTTACCTGACCTGATAACATGGGGCAATAAAACCTTCACAGACGCCCTAAGGGAAGCCCCTCTACACTGCCCAGCACCAGCAAATCTGGGGAGGAATTTGCTTATTTTCACGCAACAAACCCTTCCTCTAGGACTCCCCGTCCTGTCCTTTGTCCTGGAGGAGAGGGGGAGGTGGGTAAACAGACTCCCTTAAAAACCTAGGGAGTCCAAACAGACTGCGGCTCAGCAGAGGCAGAGGGCTGGGCCGCTGGCCTGGCCTGCCCAGGTGTATTCTCTCCATTCAACCATGTAACCTCGCTCTCCCCCAGTCCAAGCCACTGGGCGCTCTCTGTGGCTTCCATTCTGATGCCCTATCCCCAATAAAGCCTTTTCATTTTGCTGTCTCACGCCTCTTCACCAGTGACAGCCTGAGCTGAGCCGATCTGAAGCCAGGAGCCAGGAGCTTTTCCAAGTCTCCCATGTGAACGCAGGGGCCCAAGGAGTTGGGCCATCTTCCTCTGCTTTCTCAAGCCACAGCAGAGAGCTGGATCCCTGGCTTTAGCCGCTATACCACAGCACTAGGCCCCCTTCATTTATTCTTTATCTCTAAGAAGCTCAACAAATGTCGTTTTACAGATGGAGCAACTAAGTTAAGAGACGCTAAGACTCACAGTCAGAGTTACCCTACTGGGCATCTGGGTGTGGCCCCAAGGGGTGTGACTGCATGAGGTACCTTAACTGAAGTTAAGCCCCAGGTTAGATGCTGGGATGATCAACGTCCTGCGACTCACAGGTGTGCCTTGGAGGCAGGAACAGGTAAGACGCTCTCAGGCAGAGAAGAGGGAGTTTCCGCTGTGTGCCATGGCTTGTGTTAGACCGAACTCCAGGCAGGACAAGTGTGGGTGAAGGGCCAGAGGCTGCTGGGACAGCGCCCGACAGCGGCGCTTGTCGCAGGTGAGGGGCAAGGCTGACCAAGACGCCAGGAAGAGGTCAGTAAGAGAGGTAGGAGACCCAGTGCCTTCACTTCAAGAGGTGGCGTGACCTTGGTGGTGGGCTCCCCTCTCACAGCCCCACAGTGCAGCAGGGACAACAGCCCCCTTCGGGTGAATGACAGAAAAAAACCAGCACACCGCGGACATTCCCCGTATGTGTGTGTATGTGTGAAGATGCTGCCAGCTCCTCACGGCGCACACGCACACAGATAAGCCAAGGGCGCTTCGGCCTTTGAGTCGCTAGCTAAAGATCCGCCGCCAGCACCTCACGGAATCGCGCGCATGCGCCAAATCGTGCCGTCACAGTCACGTGCCTCGGGCGTTCGGCACGGGCCTTGAGAGGGAGGCTCTGACTGACAGGCCAACCGACCTGTCAGCGGGAAGCATTTCCCCAGGCGGCGGGCAAAGGGACTGTTGATTGGGGGATATCCTCAGTTGGGGGCGGGTTCTTTGCCATGTTGGTTACTATGACGCCCGGCCCCCGCCCCCTCGGCTGGCCGCCATCTTGTTGTTGATCCGTACCCAGTGGGCAGCGCCAGGAGCTGGACCGAGCGGCCGGTTCGGGCCGCTGCTGCGGGGCTCAGCCGCCTGTGCTGCCTGCCAGGGGGCGGGCCGAAACCTGGAGGCCCGGGGGCCCCAGCTCCCGTCGGGAGCCGCGGGCGTTTGCTGTCCGGGCCTGGCCGGTGAGTGACAGGAGCCGGGCCGAAAAGACAAGCCTGACGCCCGCGGGGAGGGTGGCGGCCGGCGCGGGATTGGAGCGGGCGCGCGTGTGGCTGGGGCTTCGGCAGAGCATCTCTGCAGCACCGTTCGAGCGTCCGGACTGGCCGTCTGCCGAGCTGCTCAGGTGCTGCGCCGAGGCCGGGAGGACAGCCAGGGTGGAGGTCGGAGAGCCGGGTGCTCCGGGGCCAGCCGGCGGGATAGCGGGAAGCCCGGGGCTCGGCTGAGCCGCAGCACTGAGGCGTATCCAGTGCCAGCTTGATGCTCTGCGGAGCGGAGCGGTGATGCTGGGTGGCACAGACGCGTACCTCTTTCAGGTATCGCTCTTGTGGTGATGTTCACTCCGCTTGAATTAATCGTAGACGGAACGCTGAGGCTCCCGCGAGCCGGGCAGGCCCGTGTGGCGGTCCTGGGACTCTGCCTCCTTCCCGAGACGCCCAGGGAGCCTCAGGTGCTGCTTGGAGCTCCCCGTTTGTTTCTAGGGGCCTGGTTAAATGCCTGAATTTTATTTTGGAACATGATTTCTTTGGTTCTCGACGTCCGCTTTTTGGACTGTGTGCTTTAGGAGAGTCAGTATTTTATCTGTCTGAGGAGAGATTATGCCAGTTTGTTGAGACAAAGGAAATACGGGAGTGTTCGATTTGGAAAAATAAATGTGTTAGAATTGGAAAAATGAAACTTATGGGCGGTCTTGAGTTGGCGGATTAACTTTTAGTAGTACTGAGTGTTTTCTGCGCTATGAAAACAGCCAGGCACCATTCCTGGGAGGCGCGAGGGTTGGAAATTCAGGACAGAGTGTGTGTGTCTAGGAGGAGTTCTGACTTTTCCAAAACGCACTTTTCTGCCTTTGGTCACTTGGCTTCCCTGCACGGGCCTCTTGTGTGTGGTCAGACAAGGCCTGCATGAGACGACTGAGAAGTCAGGCAACAATACTTCGTGCATTTCTGGTGGGATTTTATCCCCTCTGATAGTTCGGTTTTGAAAGAAACCAGCTCCCTGGCCAGGAAAAACTTTTGAAAGTAGGTGGTGAAACCGGAGGAGGCTGGCAGCTTGTTGCTGTTCGCCTGATACTGTATTTGGAAGAGAGAAAAGTTGTCTTCCTTCCTCCCTTCCTCCCTTCCTCCCTTCCTCCCTTCCTCCCTTCCTCCCTTCCTCCCCTCCTCCCCCCCTTCCCTCCCTGCCTCCCTTCTTTCCTTCGTTCCTTTTTATTTTATTTATTTGAAAGATAGAGTTACAGAGCGAGGTAGAAACAGAGAGGTCTTCCATCCGATGGTTCACTCC